CTTCTTCCGAGATTTGTCTCCAAGAGTCACATGTCCATGACTTTTCTCCTTGAGACTTGTGAACCATCCTCTTGTTCCGGTCATGTGTCTTGAACATCCACTATCCACAACCCAAGTGGTATTTTTCACCTAGTCAAAATGGAATTTACTTTTGACTTAGGTTTAGGGTTCCAATCGACGAATACCCTATGTCGATATACAGGTTTCGTCTTGGTTGGTTCCGGAAGTGGTATATGGACTTTTCGTTTTTCATCATAATAAAAGAAATAGTATCCACCATCATTTCTTTTATTTTCCTGCAAAAAGGGTTTCTTTTGATATCCAATATTCTTGGATTCCGACCGGTTAGAACCCTTGTTGACCAATTTTAATCTACACATTTCAACTAACCATTTGTTTGGACATTTTGTCACAATATGGTTAGCTTGCATGCAATAGTGGCAAGCCCTTACTTTTGATTTAGAAGTGGAGGCTTGGTTTGATGGGTTAATTTTTGAGGTATTAAAATGATTTTTAGCCATACTCATCAAACTTGTGGTTTCACCATAGCCAATACCTTCTTTCGTTAGTTTTGTTTGGTTATCCCATTCTTTTGTTGAGTTATAGCTATTGTAAAACATTTCCAAAGCCCCTCGTTTGGCCTTGTCTTTTTCTTTAATCAAAATTTCAATTTTCTTTTGAAGTTCTTCATTTTGATTTTGAAGTTTCTCAAGATTAATTTTAAAATTTTTGTTTTCATCTCGAGAGGTTTCAAGAGCCACTTTGAGTTCCTTTTTCTCCCTAATAGTTCGAAAAAGGTCCTCTTGGCATTCATCAAATGCTTGCCTTAACTCATCAAAAGTAATTTGACTTTCAAAAGAGGTAAATGAGTTTTGAGAACTAACCTCTTCTTCATCATTGGAGGCCATGAAGCAAGTATTTGCGTTCTCTTCTTGGCTTTGGTCACTATCACTTTCGTCGGAGTTTAAATCGTCCCAAGTGACTTTTAATGCCTTCTTCTTCCCCTTTTTAAGCTCGTCCTTCTTTTTTAGCTTTGGGCACTCCGGTTTGATATGACCTACATTTCCACATTCATAGCAAGTTATTTGATTAGGTTTACCTTTCTTTGATGGAAATCTTTTTGAGGATTCGCCCTTGTTCCATTTCATAAACTTCTTGTATCTCTTGAACATGGCAAGCTCCTCATCACTTTCTCCTTCGCTTTCCGGATGGTCATCTATTTTGAGTGCCATGGTCTTCTTGATGATAGGAACCTGTTCTTCTTCCTTCATTTTCTTCAAAAGAAGCTCGTGAGAGTATAGGCTGCTCCAAATGGTGGAGGTTTCAACATCCGCACATTTGGGCAACAAATTTACAACAAGACTATGCCACTCTCTAGGAAGAGAGAATATAATCTTGGTGTTAATCTCACTAGTGGGATAAACTTTATTTAGCTTACTCAAATTGTTGACAATGAGGTTGAATCGCTTGTTCATATCTTGAACGGATTCTCCGGCCTTCATCTTGAAGTTTTCATACTCGGATGTTCCTAAAGCTATCTTGGTAGCTTTTGTGTCTTTATCTCCT